TCAGATAAATGCATGAAAACATGTTCAACATCATTAGACATCAAAGAAGTGCAAATTAAGAACTCAGAGAGATACCGCTTCACACTTATTAGAATGGCTAAAATTTTAAAAAATGACAACATCAAATGCTGGTGCGGATGCAAAGTGACTGAATCACTCACACATGACTAGTGGGAATGAAGGATGGTAAAGCCGCTCTGAAAAACAGTTTGGTGGTTTCTTATGAAATTAAAAATTCGATTGCCATGTGGGCCGGCAATTGCACTTTTGGGTATTTGTTCCAGAGAAACTAAAACTTGTGTTCACATGAAAACATGTACACAAGTGTTCATAGTAGCTTTATTTAGAATAAACAAAACTGAAAATCAATGCAGATGTACTTCAACAGATGAATGGTGGTACATACAGACACAGGGTAGTACATCCATACATGGAATATTTCTCAGTCATAAAAAGGAATCAACTGTTGATACATGCAGCAACCTGGATAAATCCCCAGAGGATTATGCTGAGTGAAAAAAGTCAATACCAATGGTTACATACTATATGATTCCATTTTATAACATCCTGGAAATGACAAAATTATAGAGATGAGGGACAGATTGGTTTCCAGGAACTACCATGCAGGAAGAAGGGAGGGGGCATGACTGTGAAAGAACAACAGGGGGATCCTTGCAGCATTGACTATGGTATCTTGACTGGGATGCTAGACACATGAATCTACACAGATGACACAATTGTACAGAACTGAATACTGAATACACACACACACACACACACACACACACACACCACACACACAACTGGGCAAATCTTAAGATAGGTGGATTGTACCAATATCAATATTCTGGTTGATATACTGTGATATTATAATACAGTTTGACAAAATGTCACCATTAGGGAAAACTGAGCACATTATACAAGGGATCTATCTCTCTGTATTATTTCTTACAATAATACAGAGAGATAGTGAATCTAAAATAACCTCAATAAAAATTAAAATAAAAGAGGAAAATACAACTATTCACCTTACCGCTTATTTTAGTAGTACTTATTAAGTATTTGACAAGTAATATCTGAAAAATTAAATATGGTCTATATTTTTATTTCAATAAAATGGCAGTAAATGCCATCAGATTTTATTATAGATTAATCTAAATAGTTCTATATTATCAAGGGCTAAAATGTGTTTAAAGCTGCCCAGAGCAAAGACATAATATTTATTTACCAGAAGATATTGATTTCAGACAGCTAACTCTCCTTTCAGAGAAACTGATAGAGATAATCAAAGAGATCCAGCAAGATCTCTGGAATAAATTACTCTGCAAATATTCACTGCTGTATCACGTGTGCTCTCTCTCTCTATCTCTCTCTCTAAATTAAGAAGCTGGGGCCCCAACACTCATCTACACAGAAACTGCCCTAGATTGACTATGAAGGACACGTCTTTCAGGTGCACATTTTACAGATTATTGACTGAAATAAATTGTCTGGAAGTGTTCGACACTGCATTCATTCTTATTCATAAGGATGGGATATTTTTGATTAAATGAAAATATATTCATTTAAAGCTAGTTACTCTAGGCATTCATCAGGAATGAAGCCAGAAGTCAATTCAGCCATATATCAGAGGGCTCTTGGACCTACAAATCATGTCATGGGCACAATGCTCCTTGCACTTACACTGGAGCTGTGTAGGCCGAGGGTCTATGACATATGCACATATGTGGTTGTTATTTAGAACTCTCCAAGGTATAGATTTACATTACCATCTGCCATCTCAGTTGCTGTTTACATCTGTCTTAAAAGGTGGGGGGAGGCATAATCAATTAAAGTGTGTGTAGAAAGCCCTGGGAAAGATCAACAACAACAGTGACAACCTGAACTTGGGAGAAGAGGACATGTCTATCCAAAGGGAGAATAAGGCATTCAGACTTTTCTCTATTTGAAAATATTGCTTTAAACTGTGGAAAATTAAGAGACAAAAGGGTTTGTTAAAATCCATAGGCTGGAATATCCTAACACAGTTAAGCTTCTCCGAAGAGCCTCAGAAAAAATCCTAATTATATACATTTTAAAATTAACTTAATAATGAATTGGACTTCATAAAAATGAAAAGTGTATGCCTTGTGAAAGACTGTCAACGTTGAAAAGACAAGCTACAAACTGAGAGAAAGTACAACCCATATTTCGGATACAGAACTAGTATCTAGAATACCTAGCATTTAGTTTTGAAGAACTTGGAAAACGCAACAGTAAAAAAAAAAAAAAAAAAAAAAAAATCAATCCAATTAGAAAATGAGCAAAAGACATGATTTAACATTTCACCAAAGAAAATACAGAGATGACAAATAAGCACACAAAAAGATGTTAATATTACTAGCCATCCACAAAAGCAATTAAACCATGATGAAATATTCCAACTGTATCTACCAATGAGAATGACTTTTAAAAAGTGGTGAAAACCCAAAAAGTTGGTGAAGATACAGAGAAACTGGATCATTCATACATTGCTAATGGGAATGGGAATGGTACAGTCACTTCGGTAGTATTATAAAATTAAACATGTAATTATCAGTAATTGCACTTCTGGGCATTTATCCCAGGAAAATTAAAAATTATGTTCACACAAAAGCCTCTGCATGAATGTTCATAGCAGCTTTATTTGTCATAGCCAAACATTGGAAATAACCCAGATGTCTTTCAACAGATGAATGGTTGAACAAACCGTGGCACATGCTATGGAATACTACTCAGCAATAAAAAGGAACAAACTATTGATACACACAACCACCTGGATAAATCTTCAGGGTATGATGCTTGATTAAAACTGTCAAACAGAAAAGGTTACATACTGTATAAATCCATTTTTATAACATTTTTTGGATGAAAAATTTACAGCAATGGAGAACAAATCACTGGTTGTCAGGGGTTAAAAAGTGGGTGGGATCAGAGAAGATAGAAAGGGAGAAGGTAGGTGTGACGATACAAGGGCAAGATGAGGGAGTCTTGTGGTGATGGAAATGCTCTGTATATGACAGTATCCATACCAATATGCTGGTTTGGGTTGGGCTTGGTGGCTCAGCCTGTAATCCCAGCACTTTGGGAGGCTGAGGCAAGTGGATTGCCTGAGTCCGCGGGTTCGAGACCAGCCCAGGCAACTTGGCGACACCTCCTCTCCACAATAAAATAAAAATAGTCAGGCGTGGTAGCCCACATCTGTAGTTCTGGCTACTTGGAGGGCTGGAAGGAAGGTGGAAAGATCACGGAGCCCAGCAGGTCGACGCTGGGGTGGCCATGAGCATGAGACTCCAACTCAATATATATATGCTGGTTTAATCCTGTACAATAGTTTTACCATTGGATAGATGTTTAGATTATGGAAGAACTTTCTTATTACTACACGTGAATCTAATATTATATCCAACAAGTTTAATTAAAAAGAAGAATTTAAGGGTTAGGAAGAAAGTGTATCTTTTCCATTCAAGTTTGGAATTAAGATGCTGCTACTTATTAGCCAACAAGGCTGATGACAAGAAGATGAAGCCCGCAGTCTCTGTCCCTCAGCATCCAGGAGCTTCCCTTCCTAGCCAGGAGCATTACCTTCCGTCAGCCTTTATCTCGTTCCAGGAGGTCACAATAAGGACCAGAACTGACAAATAAGTCCACTCCTGCTGATTTGTTACCATGGCCTCTGAAGAAATTGTAACCCTAGGAGTCAACCTCAAGATGAGTTTGTTATTTGGGATGCTGGCAAATGGGAGGGAGGCATCAGCCAACCTATTACCAGTGACTAGCAGGCAGCTGAAGTCGACAAGGGGCTGCTAGGGACCTGCACTGCATGCAACCTCGGGAAAGAAAAGGAAACAACATGGATAGTGCTCACATACCTTCCTGTGAGAACATATCTCTTGAGTGTCATTGGGTGGTCTCTTGGCTGCCGTCAGAGGTCTCAAGCCTTTCCAGTGTTTGCTGATCACTACCTGATCTCCTGACTGACCTTCCTGCTCTTAATGCCCAGACTGTTAACTGTAAACTGCTGCTCTTGCAACTTCACACAAAGCTCTCAATGAGCTTCCCTCCTGTGAGCTGACCCAAAACACAGACCCTTCCTCTCCAACTGACAGCATGTCACACTCCTATCTTGCTTAAACTCCCTTTTATGGAATGCCTATACAGTCCTAATATTGGAACGTCTGGATAGTTCCTTTGAAGGAGCAACTTTTTCCTGACCTCCACACCCCAGCCTAAAAAGTCAGGGTTTGCTTTCTTAGCCATGGGCTATCTGAAATGCTGTATTTGATGAGAAGTATTGCAAAGTAGATAAGAGTATGAACACTAGCATTCAATTACCTGATTCAAACACTACCCTTCGCATTTACTAGCAGGGAGACCTAGGGCAGACGATTTGTCAGCTCTGAGCCTGAGTTTCCTCATCAATAAAATGGGATGCTGACAGTAGCTCATCTCGCAAGGTTGGTACAAGGATTAAATGAGTCCATTCGGGTCTCTAGAAGAGTGCCTGGCACATGGGTAGCCTTACGTATGTCAGCAATTGCTGCTGTTATTCTGCTTCTCCTTATGAGAGAATCTGAGAGGCAGCAGTGGTGAGTGAAAGTACTTTGAATTTAAACTCAAATCGATTTGAGGGTGGAAATAAGCTGGGCTCCCTCTTGGGCAAGTCACTTAACCTTTCTGTGCCTCAGTTTCCATATTTATAGAATCAAGCCAAAAAAAACCATTGCATAGGACTGTTATAGGGATTCAAAGATGTAGCTGGTGTGTCTGGATTTCTCCAGTGTGCACACTGGGAACCTCAAACACGCCCCTGTGTATTGTATTTTTGTAATGTACAATCATTACCGTGGAGAGCAGTGATGGTGAGGTTAGTCCTCTTTCCTCCTCCATCCCCCTTGCCCTGGTGCCTGTGAAACAGAGCATCCCCATGGCAACAGCAGCAGCTGGTCCCTAGATAAGAGGAGCTGGAGCTGGCCAGCAGCAGCCACTGCTGCCGCAGAGCCAGGCCCAGCTTCGGTGAGCACACACGCGCCCTCCCTGTCTCTCGCCTTCGCTCCCCAGCACCTGCACTGATTGGTAAGTGCTTCAGAATTTTACTCCAAGAACTTTTGAGATGAGAACAGCAGTTTCCAATAAGTTACAGCTTCTTTGTGGTTTCTGGGACCAAAAAAAAAAAAAAAGACTGTAGCTGGTGATGCAGGGGTTGTGCTTTATGGAGCAAGGGGAAGCTGGGGCTTGGTGGGGAGAAGAAAAAGTCACCACTTTAAGTCATTTTTCCAAGGGAGGTGGGATCCTGAGTTCTGTAAAAGTTTTGTAAGAGTCCTCTCAAACTCAACTGCAAAGTTTCAAGATAAAGTCTGTGTATCTGCATATTCACACAGGATGGAGAGATTTGTCTTCCTAGGCTGGGGAAAGTGCACTTCTCAAAACACATCTCCATGCCCTACTTTAAGTCAGTCACTCCTCTAGGAATACTGCCAATTTAGGTCTCCTAGATGAACAAATTCGATTTTAAAATATGGTATTTTTGACCTGAATTCAATCCTCCAGTTAAAAAGAGGTTCCACAAAGGATATGAATTTTACATAGCCAGAGGCTACATTAACCAGACACCACATGGGCTGTGGATATAACCCTCTACCTTTTATTCCATCAAGTGAATCTAGACCTAATTATTTTGAGATTATTCTTTCGAATACTGTAGGGCTAAGCTAAGAGTCCACTCACTCCCTAGAATCAGTATTATCACGTTCCCAAGACATGAAAATGGCTGTTCCGCTGTTGGTTTGTGCCTTGAACTGTTCTGATTTCATTATTAGCCTCAGAGAAGGCCAGAGATGAGATAAGGAGATTATTCTGATGGATCAATTTAGATATACATACTATAATCCAAAGAAAGGACAGAAAGATCAAAGGCAGTTCATGCTCATTAAAATGTTGCCATGTGGGACCTGAGCTGGCCCTTTACCTACATTATGTCATTAATACTCTCAACAACCCTGGAGAAGTGCTACTATCATCCCCATTTTACAGATCTGAAATCTAAATAGCCAAGAGGACACATAATTTTTCCAAGTTCACGCAGCTATAGAGTGGTACAAGCAGCCAAACATTTTCTTCTATCTCATTTTGCTTTACAGCATGAAATACCTACAGTTGTGAGGAATTATTCTGTCCAAAAATTAAACTTCATATTCTCATATCCAGCTGAAAAACCTACTCAAAATGCCCAGACTAGCTTCTGACCACAACTGAACCAATGAATCTTTTTTGGCTGCAAAGATAGCTTTACTGTTCCCCTGAAATAGGATCCAGTTCTGAGCTGGTGGAGGCTAGCCTCTGTAAAATGTATCCTCAGTTTCCCTAGTCTCTCTGGTGTGCCTGCCCTTCTTCAGCAAAGTGGGGTTTCTTCCCTGGCACTCAGTCTTTGACCCTTCCAGTTCCTGCTCTCAAAAGAGAAAATGACCTTTGTCATTAACAATCCCCGTGTATTGTGACATGGTTTAGGCTCCTCTCTCGGTGGTGTTTGCATTCACAAGTGTCTCTCTGTGAAAAGAAGGGCTTTGTCCTTTGTAAAAAGAACAGTACAAATTAGAAGTTGAAGGAGTTTAGAATCTGGGGAGCTGAAAACCTCCCTCAAACCCTAAAATCGCATCCCTTGGTTTCTTGCATGCCACCCACATTCTCTCAAAGAACAACTACCCAAAAAATAACTCAGATCAACAATTCTTTATTCTCTAACTGAGAAATCTGAAAAATTCTGAAAACCAAAAGTTTTGCTGTTGTTAGGTTAAGCACAAACTTTTTTGGTAGCAAAACCTTACATGAAAGGATATGAATCTTTTTGTGGTCTGTCTTTATGTCATTTCATGTGAATAGTCATAATTTTGCTGCAGAAATAATGCATATGATGGCTGGTGCTCCCTGAAATCCCACTGGAGGGGTTATATAATAAAAGGTCCTGATTTTCACAATGCATTTTGCTCTAGGTTTGTCATAAGGGTGGGTGAGTCGATATTGACAATCACAGTGGCGGTCCAAGTTCCTGTGTCAGTGTGAGAATTCAAGGCATACGCTGAATCAAAAAGTGGCAAGAGGATGTTAAAGGGGTCACAAATCTTTGTACTGAGACAGTTTATGAAACACTCCCTAATGTAAAGTCATCAGTCAACAAGCATCTCTGAAGGCCCTAGCTTTTTGACTGGAATATGAAGACCCGGAGGACCAACTATTTAGGTATGGAAGAGACAGCAGGGGCCTTGGAATGTTCCCAAATTATGGGGAGCTGCCAAGGGAAATGATGAAACCTCCTTTGGGCAGCATGACAAGAGCAGCATCCCTTTATGACACCTGCTTGGGGTAGAGACTGAATTAAAGAGAGGAACTTTATAGAAAAGCCTCGTCTCTACAAAAAAAAAATAATAAATAACTGGGGATAGTGGTCTATGCCTATAGTCCCAGCTACTCAGGAGGCTGAAGCAGAAGGATCACCTGAGCACAGGACGCTGAGGCTGTGGTGAGCTGTTATCATACCACAGCCCTCCAACTTAGCCTATGTGACAGATTGAGACTCTGACTCAAAAAAAAAAAAAAAAAAGAGAGAGAGAGCAAGAGAAAGGCATGGTAGTCAAGAATTAGACTGGTTCGTGTCTTATAGTGGTTTACTCACAAAGAAACACCTCACTCAGTGAGGATAGAAATGGACAGTAAACTGGGAGATGAGGTCATCTCAAACCAACATTCAACAAACAGGTACAATGATACCTACTTGCTCTTTTCTTTGTGTGAAGATTTTCTGCCAAGAAGTTCATAATGACATCATCCATGATAAAAGTATCTTCTAATCCCATGGGCAAAACACATCCCTGCCAAGCATGGAGTATGTTTATAATGTAAAAATTCCAAATCTGGAAATCACCTTTCAGCCCCTTGGCAAACAGAATCTTGCTAGTTCACCACCATCATTCTTTTAATCACACTGATTTAAAATGATGCTGTTTCCTCCATAGACAACAGGAGCATTGTTGTGGAGGAAGCAAGTATCCATTATGTGATGGATCACTGGTTATGCTTGCCTTATTCAGAGGACTCTGATATAGTGAACTGATCTTTGCACATTTCATTGGCTAAGGGCAGGTTCCTTTTCTTCTAGTTCAGTGGAACCATAGCCGCTTTGTTCAGATGAAGTCTGGCCCTCCCAAGGTTCAGGATCTGGATGGAAAGAAAGTGTTTGATTGTTTTTAAAAATCTGTTAGCTATACAGGGAGTCTTCCTTAGCCAGCTATCTAGCACGGTATAGACAATGTTACATAAAAACAGCTGCTACTTAAATAGTGTCTACAATATGCTAAGCATGGAGCTACCCTACTTCATCTTCACAGTGACGCTATAAGGCAGGTATTATAACTCCATTTTACAGATAAGAAAATTGAGGATAAACTTGAGGAGCAGAGAGGGACATATATCCCTGAGTGCCAGAATATGGAGCACCACAAAGATGTTAGCCTTTGCAAATTTTATCATAACAACAATAGCTTGTGGAGAGAGAGGCTAAAAATGATTATATTGCACTTGGCCTATATTTACCTTCACTAAATCATTAAGACTTAACAACCTCATCAAAGTCATATTGCTTTTCAATTAAAGAGCTGAGATTTAACCTAAGTGTATTGGACTCAGGAACTCAGATTCAAATTAAATAAACAGCTATTGGGCACATAGGAGCAGGCACATGCTCCAAGTACAAAAAATAGCTTACCTTACAAGGGTTGGGGAGAAGGGGAGGAGGAATGCTATTGCCAGATACTACTTAGAGTAGATAGCAGGGGCCTGAGTTCAAATGATGACTCTGACCCCAAATGCATAACTAATGGTATGTCATTTAACCTATTTGAGCCTCAATTTCTTCTGGAGAATGAATATTTTGAACAGATTCTCCATGGGGTAATTTTTAGCACAGCATCTATAACTGGGCCCATGACTCTGCTCAAAGAAGAAGAAAATTGGTTAAATCGGGGCGTAAGACCATAGTTGAGGCTGTAACTTTGCCTTGAGACCTCAGCACTGAACCCACTCATCCTGAGTGATGTTCCCATGGCATATGCAAATTAACAACATACTTCCTTGTGGTACTGGGGAGTTGACAGTCTTCATACATATGCTAAAAACAATGGTCTGAATTGATTTCTGCTGAAGTCACTCAGTACAATCAGTCTGCACAGAGTGACACTAAAAGCCTTGCTCAAGTGATCAGTTAATGGCTCCATCTGCCATGCAGTGATCTCAGCACATAGTGGGAGAGATCCTCCAGCCTTTCCAGAGAAAGCTGGCTTATTCCTCAGAAGAGAACTGAGTAGAACTCATTCTATGAGCTTCAAAGGTTAGCACAACTGGTCTGTGTGTTCATCTGTCCGTTGATATCCAGGAATCTCAAAAGAAGAGGATCATTTGAGTCATTTTAATCTTATTCTTTTCTTCCTCACCATTCTTGCTATGGTAGGACACGAGTAATAAATCATGAGAGGAACTTAAGGTACAGAATCCAGGCAGATGCAAATAAAGATTTTCTATAAATCTCAGCTATTGTGTCTCATTTAGATCTGACATGTGTCCATTCTGGATTTCTACTCCTCCTGGACAATGGCTGGAACTAATAGCTCTGGAAAGTTCAATGGATTGGTGGTCCAGGAAAGATGGGGAATGGGGGAGGGGAAAAGATTTGCTCTCGTGTCAGGAATCCCTAGGGAAAAATAAAGATCTATTCAAGAACTATTTTCTCCTACTATGTCTCTACCACTATCATAGTATGGATGGGGAGGTAGTCTCATTCATTTATAGTTTCAGGGTACAGTGGTAGCAAACCAGAAGTCTGACTCAGTTCGGGTTTAAAGGATTCACTTTGGTTTTAAGAGGCTTGGGTAGACAGTGGAAATCTGCAGAATTGGACTTGGATATAGGATTGGTTATTTAATAGATGTGAGACTATGCTCATTAAACTTTCTGAGCCTCAGTTTCCTCATCTGTAATGTAAACACAATCATAATCCTACTTTGTGGAACTCAACAGAGAAAATATAGGCAAGGTTTAATCAGAATTTTGAGAAGCTAACGCATTTCTAATTCAGACTTGACAACTGGTCATTTTGAAACTCTCAATGTATCTCTGAGACAAGGCAATTGTTGAACATTTGATACATGACAATTACCCATAAATCTGTGTGTGTATGTTTGTGTGTGCGATTCATTTTATTTTGGCTTAAATCTCTAGTAGCTAAGTATAAAAAGAAGATTTGAAAAATAGGATTAAATTTGGAACATAAGAGTAAGTGCTCAATAAATGTATTTATTTTATTTAAAAGTGAATGAACAGAAAGCATACTTATGAACTGTTTCTTATATTTTCTTAGTTCTGGGGAAGAAAGACTCCCATCCACCCTCTTTTGATGATGTCCACTGAGCAAATGCAGCCACTAGAGCTCTCAGAAGACAGACTGGACAAGCTGGATTCTCGTTGCAGCCACTTAGGTAAATGCTCCATTGTGAATGTCAGTAGTGGAAGTTGGAAAGGGGGCGTCTCTGCCATTTGGTTTGTGGGCAAGTCAGAGAGGGGCCCTCTGAAACCTGATAGTCTGTGCCTTCTGGTGACAGCCCACACCAGATGGGCAGGCAAATAGCCATGGGTCTGTGGGGTCTGCCATGTAAATATTAGCTGAAGCACTGGAGAGAAGTTCATTAGAGTTAGAGAGGGAGACAGAGAGAGAGAGAGAGAGAGAGAGAGAGACAGAGGGAGCATTGTCCTCTTTTTTGGGTCTGACAGAATTCCAGGCAGAGCATTTTTGAGGCAATAAATGGAATGTGTCAGTATAGCTTGTTTCCAGTATTTCCCGACACACTTATACTCCATGTGCAGTGCCAATAAAATATTTCAAATATCTCTCTTTGCCTATCAAGACAGAATTTTAAATAGCCTTTTTCTGCTTTATTGTCAATCTGTTTCCTTTCCAGAACTGACTTTTTGCATAACCTTTGTAATGAAAATACCAGAAACATTTCTGCCTCTACCCATTTCTAAAAATGAGACACTCAGACTTTTGATGGATGGGCCTTTTGCATATTCATAGCCTTTGTCTATGCCTCGCCTGGTTATGACTCCCCCCTCCTCTCCCCCTCCCCATTTGCCATCAAGATATTTTATGTTCAAGATTTCTCCAAAAATGGGGAAAAGTGCAATTGAAGTAAAAGTCAAAATTGAAGCAAATGGCTTGCTCTCTCTACTGTGCACTGAGTAGCATCCTGGGGTTAAATGGTGACTCATGACAAGTCTGTACCTCCAGAGGAGGACAGCACTCATTCTGAGTAACATTCATTCATTCATTCAACATGGTATGTAAAATATGGTGGGGGGGGAATTAACTGTGCTATGTGGTAATACGTTTTAAAAATTGCTTTTGCAGTCAGGCATTAAGGTACATACTCTCAAGAGGCTGAGTGCAATCCTGATCCCATAACCTACCAGCAATATACCCTTCAACTTTTTTACCTAGCCTTCTGAACCTTAGTTACGTCATCTTCAAAGCAGAGGTGATATATAACATCTGTGTAGCCTTAGTGTGGGAACTAAATTAGATACAATGTTTAGGCATGATACTCATATTTAGCAACTGATAAAGCATAGGCATTGACATAGCAGAAAGATGTAAAAAATGAGTGAATGACACAGTTTTTGTCTAGACCCACAAAAAGAAACTGAAAAAATATAACACATTTAATCCTCAATGTTTCAAAGAAACGTACCTGATTTTCAAAAAATAAGAAACAGAGAGGAAAGGAATGGAATGGAAAGAAAAGGCTGAAGGTTCCAATTACTCTCTCTTGATTTCCTCACATTTGTTCATATTTGTAGATCTAGCCAGACTGTATCCAGGCCCTAGTTAGTATTTTCAAAGAAGACAAATAGCTTCAGTGCCTTGTGGCCTCTTTGAAACCTAACAAAATAATTCCTTATACATAATATATTTCAGTTCCTTCACTCAACATACATTCAACACATATTTACTCATTGCTGCTGAAGAGATAGAAGACAAAACACCTGTCATTAAAGAGGGCAGAAAAGACATATGCCAAAATAATCACTAGATCATCTTTTAGAGGTGTTACCTGAAATAATGCTGTGGGTATTCAGAACATGAGAAAGAACACTCAGGACTAGAGTAGTTTAGAAAGAACTATGAAGATGAGAGGCTTTCCTCTGGGTCTGGTGGAAGGTTAGAGTGTGAGCAGCAATGTCCAGAGTGAACATTTTTTAAGCATCTGAAATATATTAGATGTGTCAGATGCTTTGCAAACATTAACAAATCTCAATCTCTCTCTCTCTCTCTCTCTCTCTCTCTCTCTCTCTCTCACACACACACACACACACACACACACACCAATTTAATAATATTATGCTTACTTTAAATATTGAGAGAACACTAAAGTTCCTAGAAATGATGTCCCAAGTTCTCAGAACTATCAAATGACAGTCAGTATTTGAACCCAGATCAACCAGACTCCACTTATCCAGTTATCATGTGCTTATTGGAGGGAGAAACAATTAAAAACAAAATTTCAAAACAGCTATAATCCTTAATTGTCAGGAAGGCTGTTTCTGCAGCAGGAGATAAATCATGAAGGACCACTGATCCCTTGCCAGAATGATGGCAGAGAAGCCCAAAGGAGAGCAACATTAAAAATAAAAGGCATAGAAGAGTAAGATAGAGTGGAAAAAAGACTTTAATGGGCAAGGAGTGATCTGATTGGATTCATTACCTGTAATGATTTCTGATGGATTTGGTGTAAAAGCCAGGCTTCAAATGCTCTAATGGGGTAGAGAATTGAGAAAAGTAAAAAAATGAATGAGAAAGCATCATGACTTTGAGTTAGGTTGGGCAAATAGGAGAGTTGCAGAGTGAGGGACAGTGAAAAGACAAATGCTGAAGCTCAAGTGTGGATCACAGAAGGACGTGGCTGGCCATAGCAATGATGGCAAGTAAGGAATTTACCAAGAATCTTGGGAAAACTTTCTAAGACTAAGGGAGATTTAGGTTCCTTACCGGCCCTTGGAGTCTGGAAAGAGAGTAAACCTTGAGAAAGAATATTGAGGAGCATTTAGCCCAGAGAACCTATCTTCTCATCAGGAAGTTAACTCAAACTTCTGCTCTGTGGCTTCACTGACTACATTTGTAAGTGTTTCTTTGCCTTGATGGTTCATCCATTTGAATTCTCTTAATTTGGAGTTTTACAGAATTCCAGTTTTCCATTTTATTACATAAATTTATGCAAGACTATGAAAGTCCACTCTGAATGACGCCAAAATAAATAAACACTTTTTTATCCAGAGCAAATGACATCTGCCCTCATCATCAGGTGCAATTGGAAACCAACCAGATTGTGACTGGACACTTAATTATGTTTTATTCTTTTTTTTTTTTTTTTGGTATTCTGTCAAAATCAGATGATCTTTCAGACCAGTTCATTAAGGACTGTGATCTCAGAAAGAAGCCTAGAAAGGGGAAAAACGTACAGGCTACCCTGAATGATGAGTCAGACCAAAAAAAGCCAAGGAGAAAAGATACACCGGCACTGCACATTCCACCCTTTATACCAGGTAACGGACAACAAAGTCGGTTTGCACAGCTATAAAAGGGAATCACTTGCCACTAGGTGACATCCATCTTTCAAATGTTTCCTTAAATACGTGGGTATTTCTACATAATTGGTTCACTTTCCATCTCTGTATTAGTTACAATATGGCCAGCTGCTATAACAGACAAATTCATCAGCAGAAAAGTTTATTTTTTACTCAACAATAGTGGCAGTTAGGGTGGGGGAGACAACTCTGCATCAAATAGTCACTCTGGGATCCAGGCTGATCAGTTTTGATGTCATCAACACACGGGGAGCAAAGTTATCATGAACTTCCAAGGTCACCAGTGAGTATCAACACCTGCAGGCATGGGGTAGACAGAATAGAGGATTGTTCTGGGAGATTCCTGTGGGCCAGACCTCCTCCGTCACAAAGTCTCACCTGACAACAGGGTATCTGGGAAATTGGCCCAGCCCTGTGCCCTGAAGAAAAGAAAAGCAGTTTGGTGGATAACTAAGATGTCTCTTGGATGTGATATGTACCACTCTCTTATTCTCAAAAGTCGTGTTTTGATGCCTTTTCTCCTCCCCCCCCTTGAATATCAACTCACTGTCATCTCTGTTCACAATACACTTTGAGGGATACAAAACAAATAAAACACTAATCTTTCTGGGAGGGAGATTTCAGTTTTCTGAGAAATGCCAGCAGCATATAATAACTGGAATCTGTAGTTAGAAATTAAAATCTGTAGTTAAAAGGACTTTGGGAGCTTATTCTGGGTAGTGAGTTGTGGAAAATTTTATAGAAGAGAATTATTAAATGATGGAGAAAAATTTTACCTGTAAAATAGATGTGACAAGGTAGGAGGCTGGAGATACAGCAACGATTAAAGTATCAAAGCAGAAGTATGCTTGCAGAATCACAAATGATCCCCTCTGGTTGAAGAGGAGGGACTTTGGATGCAGACTAACTGGGATCAATTCCTGATGGACACCTATGGTGCTATAATAGCTCAGGTCCAGTTCTTTGCTTGATTTTTCTCAGACATGTGATGGTGGTAATAATATTAAATTCCTTAGGGTTCTGTGAAGCTATAATAAAATCAGGCATGAAAAATTATGTGTATAGAGAATGTTCCTAATGTAGCCCCAATAAATACTAATTCTTATTATAAAGAAGCTTCTTTTATTAAAATAAGTTTGAAAAGCCTAACTTTTACCAGGTGTGTGTAAATGTGCATGGTCCCCATATATTAGAACACATGTATTTGACCCTGTTTCTCTCTCTTTTCCCCTAACTATACAGGTGTGTTTTCAGAACAATTAATTAAAAGATATGATGTTCAAGAGAGACATCCAAAGGGTAAAATGAGCCCAGCTCTTCATAACACTGACCTGGAACAGAAAAAGCCAAGGAGAAAAGACACACCTGCCCTGCATATGTCCCCATTTGCAGCAGGTAAAAGAGCTTGTGCAGGGTGTTTGCAGGGGGTGAAGGGAACAGGTCAAGAGCCTTGCCATCTGGAGATGCCAGGGGCCTGGCCTTTGTCTTGGCCCAGCAAGCTGTGTTGTGCAGAAGTACTCTGGAGAGGAGCTGCACTCACGGCAGCCTTTGAGGTTTATCATCACAGGTCCCTCCCCAGGGGCTGATCTGGGGATGAGAAAGGGTCAGAGCATTACTCATGCTTCAGCAGAGCTAGTCAAATTCACTGAGTCAATGGAATAGAAATGTCAGCAGGTCCTTGAGAAGAGTTGGAATGCCTTCCTCCCCAGGCTTCCACGAACACTGCATCCTATGGCTGAGTCTCGCAAGACACCTGAATTAACTGGTCAAATCCTTACAATGAGGTCAGGGATGGGAAGGGGGGGTAGGCGGGAGGAAGGGAAACATTGATAGCTACCTTAACATGTATCAAATCCCAGGCTATAATGGAACTACTCTGAGATATGAGATATAGTCCTTGCCACTGAGAAGATTATGTGTGAGTTGAGGAATAAGCCATGTACATTCATGACTAGAGTATGAGACCGCGTGTGTGTTTCATATAGATAGATGTGTGGGGAGTAAAAGAGAGAAAACATATTAGTGTTGATTGAGATCCTACTAAATGTCAGGTACTGAGTTTGGCATGGATTTTAAGAATTAATAGACTAACACAATAAAGTAGCTATTATCTTCTTTGACTGGTTAAAAACACTGAGGGAAAATTTAATTCACTTACTCTGCTTCTTTAAAGACTTATATGGGTAAAATTGATGGATAGATGGCTAACGGGCTGATTGGTTGGATCAATAATGAGAGGACTAGATGGATAAATGAATGTATAAAATCATAATCAAGATCAAATACTATCAGTGATAGAGTCGGGGCTCAAACCAGAGTCTCTCACCTTCGGGTAGTTTTTCATTGATCTATGCTGTTCTGTGGTGTGGACTGTTAGCATCATAAAAATTCAGAATGAACACTCTTGGAAGAAGATGAAATTTGGTTGTTATTATAAAACTATATTTCCCCATTATTTTATTTAATTCAAAAATCAAAAGACAGCTCAGAAGAAGACATCATGACAAAAGCAATCGGTGTCTTGAGATCCCCAGCCATGCTAGAGGATCTAGTTTTAAGTTTCATGGGATTTGTATTCTCTGCACTTCTGTCCTTTTTCTTCTTCTTCTTCCTCTCATTCCACCTCCTCTAACCTCTGTCCATCCCTCCATCCCTTCATCTTCACCACTTGCTTATATACCAAGATGATTGTGGGTATGTGATCCACATGATTATGCCAGTGACAACGTTCTCTCTCGCGCGCTCTCTCTCTCTCTCTCTCTCTCTCTCTCTCTCTCTCTCTCACACACACACACACACACACACACACACACACACATGGAGAGAGAGAGAGAGAGAGAGAGAGAGAGAGAGATGTTTCTAAGACCAGCTTTTCCAAGCACTGACTTCATGCAAACTTCTGAGATAATGCAAATAAAAGTAGTTTAGGATGTACAGAAGTCTAATACTCAAACTGTCTTTATTCTTTTTTTTTTTGCAAAGAAAGAAAAGTTTATTTAAAAGCAATTTAAAGAGAGAAAGAGAAGAGAGAGAGAAGATTCACCTCCCCAAGCTGTCTTTATTCTTTTAACAAACACTTATTGAAGTCTTATGTTCTAGGCACTGTTTCAGGCACTAGTACTGGAAGAAAGTCAATAATCATATAAATAAATACATAATGGAACGTCTGCTAGGGCTAAATGCTATGAAGAAAAGAATTAGGAAGGGGAAGAAAGAAAAATGGAGATTGCTTCTTTAGATAGGGTGTGCAGAAAAGACTTTTCTTGGGAAAAAAATAAGCAGAGACCTGAAGAAAGTGTGGAAGGGCACACTGTGGAGACAACTGAGGAAAGAACATTTGAGGCAAAAGTCGAAGCATCCTGAGGTGGTGATGTCTTTGGCTTTTATTCATTGAGTACCTACTATGTGCCAAGTGTTGTTCATGTGCTGGGCATACACTAGAAAATAAAACTAAAAAAGCCCTTGCTTTCATGGAGTTTATACTCTAGGTGGGAAATTCGGTCTTAAAGCAGGAAAAATTAGGTTTTCCTAAAATTCACAGCCAGGCAACTTGGATGCCATATGCTAACTTACTTAAAGAAGAGGGATGCTTCATTTTATTGTGCTTCACTTATTTGAACTTTGCATATATTGTGTTGTTTTCTTGCTTGTGTGTGTTTTGTTTGTTTTTTTTATTAATTGAAGGCTTGTGGTAACTTTGCATCTACCAAGTCTATTTTTCCAGTGTTATCATTTTTCCATCTGCATGTGCTCACTTTGTGTCTCTGTGTCACATTTTGGTAATTATCCCAATATGTCAAACTTTCTCATTATTCTCTTTATCTGTTATAGTGACCTTCGATGTTACTATTGTAAGTTCTGGGGGGATGCCATGAGCCACACTCATAATATGGCAAACTTAATTGATAAATGTTGTGTCTGTTCTGACTGCTCCACCGACAGGTCATTCCCCTGTCTCTCTCCCTCACCTTGGGTCTTCCAATTCTCTGAGACACAACAAAGTTGAAACTAGACCAATTAATAACCCTACAGTAGCCTCAAACTGTTCAAGTGAGAGGAAGAGTCACACATCTCTCACTTCAAATCAAAAGCTAGAAATGATTACTCTTAGTGAGGAAAACATGTCAAAAGCTGACAGGTCAAAAGCTAGGCCTCTTGTGCCACACAGTTATCTAAGTTGTGAATGCAAAGGAAAAGTTCTTAAAGAAAATTAAAAGCACTACTCTGGTGAACACATAAATGATAAGAAAGCAAAACCTCCTTATTGCTGATATGGAGAAAATTTTAATGTTCTGGATAGAAGATCCAACTAGACATAACATTCCCTTAAGCTAAAGTCTAATCAAGAGCAAGTCCTTATCTCTCTTAAATTCTCTGAAGGCAGAGAGAGATGAAAAAGATGCAAAAGAAAAGTTGGAAGCTAGCAGAGGTTGGTCATGAGGTTTAAGGAAAGAAGCCATCTCTAGCATTAAAGTACGGGATAAAGCAGCAAGTGCTGATGGAGAAACTGCAGCTCCATTTTGCAGCCCATGGATCAAAAAGTCATTTCAGGTTTCTAGTCTTATTATTTAAAAATTACATGTTGTAAGGTCATAGCTGCCATAGAGAGTGATTCCTCTGACGAATCTGGACAAAGCACACTGAAAGTCTTCTGGAAAGGATTCACCATTCTAGAATCATTAAAAACATTCATGATTCATGGGAGGAGGTAAAAATAACACTAATAGGAATTTGGAAGAAGTTGATTCCAACAACTATCATGAATGACTTTAGGAGTTCAAGATGTTACTGCAGATGTGGTAGAAATAACAAAAGAACTGGGATTAGACGGGGGAACCTGAATATGTGGTTGAATTGCTGCAACCTCATGATGAAACTTAAATGGATGAGGAGTTACTTCTTATGGATGAACAAAGAAAGTGGTTTCTTGAGATGGAATCTACTCCTAGTGAAGATGCTGTGAACACTGTTGAAATGACAACAAAGGATTTAGAATATTCCATAAACTTACTTGATAAAGCATGGTCAAGTTTGAAAGGATTGACTCCAATTTTGAAGAAAGTTCTGCTGTGAGTAAAATGCCATCAAACAGCATTGCATGCTATAGAGAATTCTTTAATGAAAGGAAGAGTCAACCGATGCAGCAAACTTCATTGCTGTCTTATTTGAAGAAATTGCCACAACCACCATGACTTTCAGCAACCAGCAACCTGATGAGTTAGCAGCCATCAACATCAAGGCAATACTTTTTATGAGCAAAAACATTAAGAGTCAATGAAGCCTCAGATGCTTGTTAGCAATTTTTAAAAATAATGTATTTCTTAAACAATATACATTGTTTCTTTAAACATAATGCTATTACATACTTAATAGACTACAGTATAGTGTAAACATAACTTTTATATGAGCTGGGAAATTTAAAAATTCGTGTGATTCTCTTTATTGCAATATTCACTTTATTGCAGTGGTCTGAAACTGAACCCATCATATCTCTGAAGTATGCTTGTAATAAAATTTCTGAGCAGTTCTGCAGTAAAGGAATCACTTTAATTTTGCATAACCCAGCTCTGATCTATTTGCCACAGAACTTTTTTCCTACTATTAGTCTAATCATTCTATATATTATGCTGTAATATGGGAAATCTTGTTTTATAATCATATATGATTTAAATAAGCCCTTTCTTTTTTTACCTCTGTCAAAGGATCACTGTCTCCAAATTCTATGAGAGAAAACAGAGGAATAGACAGGATCACATGTTTTCTGACTTGCAAGTAAGAAGCAGAGCCAGACAAGGTGGCATAGAGCATGTGGAAACAATTCTTTGGAGAAATGGTCCAGAAACCAAGTGGAATGGTCTGAACCTGCCTCTTGTTTGCTTCTCATAGGTTATGTGCATTCCTACCTACAATGAGTCACCAATCAATCATGCATTTCCCCTCAAGCTCTGCCCCTGTCCAGGTCTCAGTTACCTTTCTTTTCTTTTTCTTTTTCTTATATGTAATTTTTTTTTTTTTTTTTTTTTTTTTAGAGACGAGGTCTCACCAAGTTGCCCAGGCTGGTCTCAAACTCCTGGGATCAGGCAATCCTCTTGCCTTGGCCTCCCAAAGTGCTGGGATTATAGATGTGAGCTACTGCATTCGGCCCTCGGTTACCTTTCAAGACTCAGCCAGCCCAAAGCCTCGGCTAACAGATCTTTGAAGTTCAAAATAACTCTTCTCTAATCTGAATTAACTCTGTATTAGTCATGGGCATGAAAATACCCAAGACTTTTTCAGCTCTTTTAGTATTGTCTTTACTGTTCTTGTTGCTATTATTGTTGCTGCTATTTACATGGACTTACATCAGCAACTTTCTTGGTGAATCCATGAAGACTGAGCTGTGATTGCTTTATATTTCTGGCATTGATCTTGATGTCTAGTCCAGTCCTGTCTGTGTAGCAATGCTCTCTATGTATATGTTGACTTGATGTTCTTTCTGGCAATCGCTGTTTTGCAATACCTTGAAAAATAGTGGAGACTGATCATTTTCTCTTCATTCTTGTATCTGTTTTTTATTGAAGTTCTCCCATGAAGACTTCATTAGAGGGACAACAATATTTATGGATAAGGAGTCATCCTTGTGTACAAAATTGAACGTGGGCTTTAGCATCAGAAAGGCCTAGGTTTCATCTCTGGTTCTACTTCATACTAGTTTTGTGACCCTGGGCAATTAGCATAAACTATAAAAGCCTCTTTCGTTTTATTCATTCCTGAAACGACGACCATAAAATCTGTCTCCCAGGGTTATTAACACAATTGAATAAAGTTTAAAAAGCACTTAGCAGAGTTCTGGCATACAGAAAGCGCTCAGTATATGTTAGTTCCCCTTCATTCTTTGTTCAATCTTATATTCTTTGAGAGGCATCTAAACATTCGTGAAGGTGAGAATTCTCTGAATGACAGTGTTTTATGTCTCCATATAAACCTGCTGATTCAAGAAATTTCCTAAAGTGTTGAGCTCTGTTTATCTGGCAGTGGGTACTGCCCACACTCCAATCTCTACATTCTAAAAGAGCAGCTTCTCTATTGAATTAAAAATGTTTATCAAACACTGCAGAGTAAACAAGAGCTGGGGGTGGGGTGGGGTGAGATAGCTGTACGTCTACAGATTCTGTACACATTACAGAATTCCTTGAATCAGCAAATCTGTTATAAGTATGTGCAATTACAGATATTGTTGTCTGATTCTAGCTTTTATTAGCATATTAGCTGAAGTACTTCATTTCTGAAGAGTCTTTAGTATTTAAAGATTTGGCAGTAATCGAAATGCTAGTTAAGCTGATAAGGATAGAGCCTTCGGCAGCTGTTCAGAAAGACTCACATTGGGTCTAATAAGGGTGTGGAGAGAAACTCACAGACAAATGCACTCTGGAGACATCTCCTCTCATTAGCCCTTGGCAAGTGAAAACTGGACAAGGATTCACTCTCTCTTCTAAATCTCTTGCTAACTACCTTCATTCCCCTAGGTTAATGAGCTTGTTTGACAGGTTCCAACTGCCAGAACAGTCCTATAGAGGGGAATCAGCTCAAGCTTCTTTGCCAGCCCCAGGCTTGCTCCCAACTTGGCCTACTGTTGCTAGGGACCCCATCTCAGTGACTGCATGGCAGGTAGCATTGGTTAAGATTTTTCAGATCTGGGTGTCCAAACCCTGCTTAAGAGAGAAAGATGTCTTTAGTTTGGATTTGTGGCAAAGGGACACAAACAAAGAAAAGAATAATGGGGCTGGGGCTGGAAGGCTTGAGGAGAAGCCACCTAGAAAATTTTCCATGAGCTGGGAACATTTGAACACTGGGGCATCAAAAATCAAAATACTGTACCTGCACAATGGGAAAAGATCAGTATGTTCATTGAAAGCGACACCTTTTCTGTCCTGCTGGGAATAGGACATTCTCTTCAGTGTGATTTATCAGAAGAGGTGGTGTCTTAGTCCTGACTCCCTCAGTTCATAATGTAATGTGCAGGAACAACTTCAGATGGTGGTCTGGCTAGGATCATGCTCTAAAATAACTTGCTGCAAGACTGATTGGCTTTTAAAGACCTTGGACTGGTAGCCTTGGCCTTAGAACACACCAAGCTCCTATAAGCAGCTAAGGTTCTCTAACTTCTTCTGTATAGGGAGAGTGAGAAGGAAAGGAACTGACATTTGCTAAATACTTACTGTATTTCAAGTTTTGTGCCAAATGTTAGAATCTCCTTTGAGGACCTCACAGTTTAGTAGGGGAGAACCATGTATTGTCCAATATCACAGATATTCATGTAAGATGTGGCTACAGCATTTAAAAATGTGGGCCTAAGTCTATTTGGGGGCATACAAATTATTTTTCCTCCAATTTTACAGGTAAACTAAACTGATGCTCAGATAGATTGAGTGACCTGTTCGAGGCTGAATGATCATCAAAGGCAAAGCTTTTTGGCTTTTCAGAATACATTCCTTCAGGGGAGCATCTCTGTTTCCCTTGGGAAAGCATAAGGATCAGGAGGGGGTTAAACCAGACCAACACTTCCCAAACTCAGGTCATCTTCAGCTCACCAACACATCAAGAACAAGAAAGCAGTGGTGACGTGGAGACACTCCTGATATAAGGTCTTCCCAAGCAACAGCATCCATGAAATCAGGATTTTGATAAGCTACCATATATTTTTCATTATAAATCAAAACTCAGTGCTTAACTATATTAACATAAAATTCCAATTTTAATAACTAATATTAGCATAAAGTGCTAGTTCACCTTCCACTTGTAATTATGTCCTGTGCCCTTGTGGATAGCCCAGCTCACCTTGAGAAAAGCAGGCCTTGATGACTTAACAGGCTCCTCCCACCCCTGAAATCCTGAACATGAGTAGGTTTCAAGGGTACCCAAAGTAACCAGAAAGTTGACTAGAATTTGAGAATTTAAAGGTTCTTGCCCATTTTGAATCAACCCAAATTTGGCTTCATATGAAGAGATATATAGGAAGGAAGGATGGAAAGTTTTGGAGCTCAGTATAGCTAGCTCTGATGTTCTTCTATCATGCTAGCCTTAATTCCAAATAAAAATCCAAACCTCTATGCAGCTGGTACGCAAGAAAATATCTCCCACTGTGTTTCATAAATGATTTATGCAAAAGCCTTAGATTCTAACTTGACTCTTAAAATTGTTTTTCTCTTCCAATAAATACCAGCTAATTGGTAAAGAACCCATATGAACAAACTAGGAACTGAATCAAATGAATAGTCATTAAGATCAACACATAGTTTTCATTAATTTGCTGCTGTTGAATGGAGTCCAGTGTCGTAGGAAGGCTCTTGTGGTGCACAGCTTCCCTCTCTCAAGTTTAGATCTTTATGAAATGTTTCATGAACTGAAAGGTCTCTAATTATGAGAAGCGAGAGGGAGGCAATGCAAGGTATTGGTGGGGAAGCAAAGCTGGCTGGCTGAAATGGGATGACAGAAACCATGGAGGATTGGCCTTGAATCACAGTTTCCTTTGTCCTTTTATTAAAACGACTCTACTTCACATTTCAAAAAATGAAAAGAACCACTCAGACCACCTTGGCTTGTTCTTTCAGGGCCAATCAGACCAGAATATTGTGCTCAGACTTCTGCATTTCACAGGCCCATAAACTTTTTAAAAAACATATTATGGATTTGAACAAAGAAATAGTAATTTTTTATTTTGTCTGATAAGGATGCTTTAAAAAATCTAACATCTCTACATTTTTATAAAAGAAAGAAAAAAAATAAAAGAAAGAATATTTTCATCCTCCAAAGAGGAAAAGAATAATCTCAAAGTAAGGAACAGCTTTATAAATTGCAGCCATGTGGTTGTATGAGAAACTCACTACACTTATTTTCTCGTTTTGCTCTGAAGAGTGTGAACTTTATCGTCTATTGGCACAGTACTGACATTGAGAAATGGCATGTCAGAGCCTCAGCTCAATATTCTCCCAGATGTTAGTAAAATACCTTTAAGTTTGACTTCATGAGGCTTACCAGTTCTTTTCAAAAGCAAACTAAACTAGAAGATTGTGAAGGGACAGGAAGAAAACTGATGTTAGTTGCTCACAGGTGCGGCTCTGTGCTATTGTGTATTGTTGCATACATCTTATTTCATTGTCACAAATAATCCTTTGTAATAATTATTAGTGTCCTCATTTTACATATGAGAAAATTCAGGTGCAAATGTATTAACTTGCCCAACACAGATTAAGTGAGTGACAGAACCACATATCCAAAGCAATTGGATGATTTCCACTCCACCATGCTGCAAACTCAGGGCAGAACTTTGAGAAGAGGATGAAGGTTGCCTCTGACTCCAGGCTGTGCCTCCCTCTGTCGCCTGAGTGGTGTCCTCGTTGAACACCTCTGGGAAGGCTAAATAAGGCCACCCAATTCCTTCTCTCTCAGTTGCAAAGAAGTTAGCTTTGCAGGCACTAAGAGGTTTCTGGGTTGCCATGCTCCTGTGTACTGTGTCTATGCTGCAAGGTTGTCTAATATTTCCATTAGAGGCACTTAATTGCAGGTCTGTGCTTTGTTTTGCAGGTGTGACACTGCTCAGGGACGAGAGGCCCAAAGTGATCGTGGAAGATGACGAAAAGGATGGTGACAAGATAGCTATTTAAAGATAGTTCCCCCAAGACCACTTGTAAATAGGTTAGATCAGTTCCCTACGGTGACCTAGAGAAAAAATAGACTTGTTTCTGCTCTCATTTTTATCATCGTCTGACTTTAAGGTTCAGACACCTTTTCCCCAGGAGACATACTACATGAGATTGCCAGTCACCTCTCCATTTCTGTCTTCTTCCTTGAGTCTGGTTTCAATTCCCATGTTTTGAATTTTCGTTTTGCAATCCAGTGGAAAAGAAACAGGTTATCCTAAATAAGGAGGTGACAGAGAGAGTTCTGGTGTTTAGTTTCTTCATCTTCTGGATCAAGAACACAGATAACAGGCAGCCTTTACTTCTTGGTTTGTGCTGCTGGGCAGTACTTGGCTTAGTATCATCCAAACACCAGTCCAACTGGAGGCTCCCTGTTGCCAGTTAGAGAGGTGAGAATGTTTTTGTTCTAATTCACTGATTGCTTTGGAGAGCATGGTCTCTTATTTCTCCTGTCCTATCTTAAGAGTCCAACTGTGTCTGATGATATTTCTAAGAACCTTGCAAGAGAAACTCTAAAGACAATTTTATGAGCTGGAAGAGTCAAACCAACTCACCATGCCTTGGCACAAGACACCAGAAGCAGCAAGTGCTAGTCTGCCTGGGGAGCTTAGCAATATATCTTTGTATTATTTTTGTTTTTAAAAACAACAGTTCATAATCACGCTGCCCTGGCATCTATCTGTGAGTTGTATCACAAGTGAGCCATTATTAATGCTAGATAAAACACCAATGTTTGTGACGAATTTACTTTTTAAAAAACTAAGGTCAAATGAAGGCCATTCTAATATTTTTAGCATTTCACTTATTCAAACTCCAGTATGCTTTCTTGCACAGGTGGAGAGAGTATAATATTGACAAGTGAGCAGGGATCTGTATATAGCCCCTGCCCCAGCCTTGGGTGCCTATGGGAAGGCTTTGCGCATGGGTCTCCTCCACCAGGCAATAGGCGGGGAGAAAGGTGAGAACTATTATTAAAGGGAGGAAAAAAGGATATTTGAATTGTCTCATCTAAGAGTGATCATTTGGAAGCTCTGTATATACCCTGGCTCCAGCAGTTTAGTAATCCCTTCTGTCATTCTGATCACCTCACAAAGATGGAAAAGATGCAGTACTCTGCTGGAAATAAAGATACTTCCGTCCACATATCTATGGCCTGGTGCATGTCTCCTAAAACACCCTATTTGTTTACAATTTATAAAGGGTATAGGTTTCAAAAGAGACTCAAAGGTGTTGTTTTGCTTTGCTTTTGTTTTTGTTGGACCTATGGAGGTTTAAAAATGTTTGCATTAGCTGTTCATATTTAACAAACCAATCTGGAGAACTTACATAAAATTCTGGATTTCTAGGTTCTCTTGGAAAAACATCTCAAAGCTGGGTAACTTTGGGCTTGATTAAAACATGGCAGCCTGCCGGGCTCGATGGCTTAGCCTGTAATCCCAGCACTTTGGGAGGCTGAGGAGAGTGGATTGCCTGAGCCTGCAGATTTGAGACCAGCCCCCGGGCAACTTGGCGAGACCTCGTCTCTACAATAAAATAAAAATAAAAATAAATTAGCCAGGCGTGGTAGCGAGCATCTGTAGTTCTGGCTACTTGGAAGACTGAGGCGGAAGTATTGCTGGAGCCCAGCAGGTCTACGCTGGGATGGCCGTGAGCGTGTGACAAGGCAGCCGCCAGCTGGACCTGAGTACTGGGTACTCATTTTGGAAGGGGCATGCATTCTGCAGTTTGACATATGCCCCACCTGGAGTAGTTGACTTGAGTTTGGAGCCCCCTAGTGAAGACCCATGTCATGTTCCTAATGGTCTTGCCTTTATGTTTCCAGTGTTCCATTCCCACGTCTGATGGTCCCAATCACAACTTTGGAGGGAGGGGACCTGAAACTGTGACTGGGATGCTGGTTGAGGCATAAATGGTGAAACACGGCCACCATAAAGTCTTTAAGAAACCAAAAGCAATTACAGGTATTTGGATACTAGAATAATATCACCGCTTTTTTTACCAAGGGATCTTCACTCAGAAAATACAGACGCACTCTCTTCCTATCAGATTTTCTATATAAACACAGTGGACACCCGCAGTCATGTCTGTAGATGGTCAATAAACTGTAAAACTACTCAGAAAAGCCCTCATCATTTCTAACTTCCTAGGATAGGGTGGAAGGTTGATGGACTGTTGCAGAAGAAAGAGACCTTGGGTTTTATCCCTAACTGTGTGACACCGAGCAAGTTTCTGAAATTCTCTGCGTCTGGTTATCTCAAAACTGAGGATAATAATTATTGCTTTGCCTTCTTCATAATTTGAGGATTAAATGAGATAATGTACAGCAAAGGGCTCTGTAAGCTAAAATGCCCTATTGAACTATAGTAGGATAATTTTAAGACCCCTTCAGAGCCTGGACTGCCAAATTCCCATTGCCTGGGTATTGAATGGGTAGCAGTTATGCAGATTCAACACCCGGCACTGGAAAGATTCCACAAGGGAGATCCCATCACTTGTATAGCCTTAACTATAACAACCTTTGTAATAGAGTCCCAGTCTCAAGGGAGCAGACACAGAATGGTGAGGGGCAAAACCAGCCAAAACACAATCAACCCTGGACATCATTGGGGTGATTTGGGTTGCAGCCATATCTCCCTTACTTCTCTTGCCCCATGTGACCCTTTTCTGGCCTAGTAGAGTAGAGGTTTAATGATTAGAATTACTTTTCAATTAAAATAGTTCTGAGTACATTGTAAACAACTTCCCTCCAAATAATAGTTATGTTAAGAAATTAAAAGCATTACGTACTAGCCCATTCAGAAGAAGAAGCAAATTAAAGAGGCTTTTTTAACAGAACAAGCAAAGCAGTTGGTCATTTGTTCATTCTGAAGGCATCTACCCAGAGCCCAGGCTACCTAGAATAAGAAGGCACTAGACATGAGAGACTTAACTCTCTTTCAAAAGCTTCACACAGAGCCTTTCTTTAAATCCTGACACCCTTTAAAAGCTGTTGGCTGAGATCACACAGCCCACTTCTAGTGCCTAATTATCACACGGAGAAGCAGAGGCTGGCACTGAAGAATTGGGGAAGGACCACAAAGGACTCAAACAGTGTTTCCTTTTAAATGCAATTAAGTGAATTTTCCCTGTGTTGTCCAGGTTGTTTTCTTAAAACAAGCATAGACTGAGATAGAGTGTGATTGTGAAAATAAGTCAGTAAAGCAATTATTTTTGCTAGCTGAGAATAAGAGGCTAGTTACATGATGGATTTTGTAGAACCTCTGTCGTCTTGTGTAAATGAGGCTCCGTTGCCACTTGTAATGTACAAGTGTGAAAGTGTTAGTCTGAAAACTCCCTGAGGCAGTGAGTGAATGAGAAGGAAATGTCTAGGGGAACTGAGAATATCCTCCTCCAGTTCCCTTGGATATGAGATTGCCTTCGAAACTGACTGTAATTTAGGATCTCTGCAGAGTTTCAGAATACCAGAATGACCATAGTTCCTGGCCCAAAAATCAGGGCCGAAGACTCTGAACAGGTAAATGGACTTACAGGAAAAACTGTGCTATTTCAAATAAGCACTACCCTGGACTATCTAAGATATTAGCTTACCTTTCTCAAGAAGAAAAGGATAGATATTTTCTAACCTACAGTACCAAGTCCTCCCAGTAAGGTAAGATTCCTCAAAGGAAAATGCAGAGACTTCCTGAGAAGGAACCACAGAAAATGGGAATATAATTTTGCTCATCCAAGACAACATGACTCTTCCATCTCATGCCAAATATTTGCTTTGAGTTTGAAAAAAGCAGTAAATTACATATCTTTGTGTCCTTATGATTGTGCTGAAGCTCCAGAAAAACAATATATACTTCAATGTCTATCAATCAAATTATGTATAAATTATATTTAAAATTTTATATTTAAAATTTATTTCCTTTTCAGCACTTTTGAGTTCCTTGTAGATCCTAGATGTTAGGCCTTTGTCAGACTTGGAGTTGGCAAATATTTTTTCCCAGTCTGTGAGCTGTCTCCCTTCTCTCTTGTTGGTTTCTTTGGCTTTGCAGAAGATTGTTTGTTTGATGAGGTCCCACTTATCTATCTTATCTCTTATGGCATGGGCACTCAACAAGGGTACCTGCACAATGAATATTTGTATACCTAATCCTGAATTGTACCCCACAATTTTAAAATTAAAAAATTTAAAAGTTAAAAAAAATTATTTCCTAACCACTATTTATATAATGTCCTTTAGGAAAGAAACAGTGTACTCTAAGCCCTTGTGCTTTCTCAGTCTTTTTCCTATATCATCTCATTTGATCCTCAAATACAATAAGAAAACTAAGTACCTAGGGAAACTGTGTTGGAGAGGAAGCCAGAACAGGAGCTCCAGTCTCTAAACTCGTAGCCTGATGCTACTAATATAGTATGGAGCTGTTCTGAACATCCTCCTTAAAGCAAGGTCCAGAATGCAGAGGAGGTTAGAGAATAAGGTATTTAAATGAGCCAGAAAGTAATAAATCATATAAACAGTTCCTGACTATTTTCTCCACCCACCTCTCTCTCAACTTCTGAATGAGTAAGTATATTAATAAATATGCTCAACTTTTCAACACCCAAAATTTAATTATTGCTAGCAGACCCTACTGTTTTAGGGAGGTGGTGAGGTTGTTTTCCCCCTCCACTTCAGTCTTCATGTTATCAATTCTCTACCTTGTAGCTGAAGTAACCCTATTCAAACACAAATTTAACAAGATGGGACCCCTCCTTAATGTCTTCCCCTTGCTTACAATAAAGGCAGAGATCTCAAGTCCAGGCCCTTCACTCCCTACCCTCCTCTGGGCTCTAGTGACATTGACCTCTGCCACTACTGGGGATCCTCCTTTCCCTCTCCCCTAACCCACTCATCCCTCCCCCCAGCTTTTTGCTACACAGTGAAGTCCTGCTCATCCTCCAGAGCTCAGCAAATGGCCACTTTCTTGGGGGAAACTCGTCCTTGCCTCTTTGACTAGGTCAGGTTCCTCCATTATTTGAGTGTTCATGAGCCACCATGTTCTTTTCTTCAAGTGCACTGAATGTCTTAACAAGCTGAAGTAAACAGGTACAGTTCTGATTGAGACATCAGGGCCCAAATCATCCCTACTGTTCCAGGTGACTCCTAGGTGAGTCCATTTATAACGTGGTATCAGGACCCTGAGCGCCCATGCCAACCTGTACACAGGTATGGCACGAATTTACAATTTCTGTGAGTTTTGCTGGAACCTCCTGTTAGAAAATGCTTGATCTTTTGAAGGTTTTGCTGTTCAGCTAAGGACTAACTGCCCACCTCTGTGCTGTCATCCTGACCAATCATTCTTTGTTCTTTGGTGACTTTGGACCTGGATCTAGGACCAATTAAACTGAGGCAAGTAGGTGTCTTAGGTGAAAAAATTGTGGAGGGAGGTGCTTGCTCTCATGGACAACCCTGTCTGACTTACATGTTTCTCTCCCTGAATTGTTAGTGTCTTTCTATTCTCTATCTTCCCCGGCCTTCTTTTCACTCATTTGCCCAAGCCATTGCCAACAGGGCCAGATCCTGCCCACTAGGAGCTTTCCTAGAAGAGAGTACAGGTAGTTCTCATACTGCACAGTTCTAATATGCATAAATTTAAATAATTCCAATTTAGTTAAATACCAGAAGTCACACAATAACATGGTTCAACTTTCAGATACTATCTAATTAGTTAGTATCTAATACTAACATACTGATAACATGTTAACTGTGAGTAATTGCATAAGATATGAATTTCACTGATAGCTCTTCAGACCACAAATTATTGCACAGATAACAGACATGTACCATGATCAGTGTCCAATCATGTTGTTCTTCCAAAGTCTGAGGGAAAATGGTCACCATGCATCTGTTATTTATTTCCTGCACAGACAGCAAAGCATGTAGTTGTGTGACTTTTGTATTCCCTAGTGTTAAACACATGAAACATCTTAGAAAAATTAATAATCAAAAATAGTAATTGGCCACAAAGTTGAAAGTACAGGAAAGAAACAAGAAGTGATAATACTGAAAGTGAAATAGAAGGGAATGGAGTTACAGAAGACACAGTTGCCTATGGGTGAATTGATCCTGCGACCATGGGGGATACC